GTGGGAGAAAGTGCCATTCGATTCCCTCATTTGTTAAATAGTTAGCTAAGCAATCGTCTGGTTTTACAACCAAATTATGTAATTTTGATAGTTCTTTGTTGGCTGCTGTGAAATTTGTGGCATTGTCCGAAAACAACTTAGAACATAAAGCCACAAATCTCTTTAAACACGCGATAAAGGCATTAGAGGTTAGATCCGTTACTAATTCTAGGTGTATTGCCTTAGTGACTAAACACACGAAAATGCAAACATAAATTTTATGATAAATTCCCTTCCGTTGATGTTTGTACTTTATAAAAAATGGACCACAGAAATCTGTGCCCGAGCAATTGAAAGGAAAATCAGGAGTTACTCTTTCTTTCGGGAGATTTCCCATTAACTGTTCAACTCCTAAAGGTTTCACTTTAAAGTAATCTATGCAATCGTGCACAATTTTCCTGCACGTTGCCTTACCCTGAACAGGCCAAAATTTCTGTCTAACATAATGTAGTAAAGCAGTAGGCCCTAAATGAAAATATCGTTTGTGAAAGAACTCTAAAATTAGCTTAGTTAATTTATGACCTTTAGGCAGGATAATTTGAAATTTACTATTAAATTCTACATTAGCATGATTTATTCTGCCATTTACTCTTAACACTCCTTCTTCATCTAAAAAAGGATTTAAATTTTTTATCTTACTTCTGTGTGGCACGTTTTGTTGAGCCCTTAAACACTGCAGATCTTCTGCAAACGCTATACCTTGTACGTTTTTTATCAGAAAGAGTTCACTCTTACTTCTTTCTTTCGTAGTAAGAAGCCCCAACATCCTATTTCCAGGATTCCTTACATTGTGGATAAATCTAAAAAGATAACTAATAACATGCAATACTTGAGAATAACTATTGCTAATATCAAGTAATTCAAGAATAAAAAGGTTCGACGTCATAGTAAACACAGGTAAGTTAATTTGCTCTGAATGTCTAATCTCGCAGGTGAACTCATCATTTAGGATCGATGACGGAATTTCCCGATTGGGATACTCTCGCTCATTCAGAAAATCAGGTCCCTTGAACCACAGTTTATTTCCATTCAACTTCTCAGGATTCATCCCTCTGGAGATGAGATCCGCCGGATTGTTCTCAGAAGATACGTGACGCCATTGTTGAACTTGTGTCAAGTCTTGAATTGATGCTATCTGGTTCGCAATTATTGTTTTTAGATGAAACGGCTGTTTCCGTATCCAGGAGAGGACGATTATCGAATCGCTCCACAGGAAAATGTCAGCTGATTCAAAATTCTAAAGCACTTTTCACTTTGGTTATGAGTCTTGCCAAAAGGACTGCAGCATAAGAGGCGATACCCTTGATTTACCACAAATCAAGTTCACTTCAAAGGTATCATCTTCAGAATATGATTTACAATAAATGACGCATCCGTAGGCAGATTCGGAAGCGTCCGTAAATCCGTTAAGTTCAATATGTACTGGACTTTCTATTAAAATGCATCTCTTAATACTGATGTAGTTAATTGATGGCAAAGCATTGCTGAAGCTTTCCCACTGTTGAGCCTCCATTTCAGGAAGCGGATCTTTCCAGTCAAGCTTAAGACACCACAATTGTTGTACAAAGATTTTCGCTTTTGTGATCACCGGACCCAATATACCAAGAGGGTCGTAAATGCGTGCTATTATTGACAGCACTAATCTCTTTGTTGGTGGTACAGTACTTTCAATGGACGCAAAATGATCATCGGCAGGTTTCCAAATTACACCGAGTGTCTTTGTCTCATCTTGGAAATTATAGTTATTGTCAGACCCTGTTAATTCCGGGTTGTTGCAGTACCACTTGTGCAGGACCATGCCGCCACTATTTAAAACCTTTGATAACTCTGACTGCAATTGTTTTGCTTTACTCAAGGAGTCAGCACCACTTAAAACGTCATCGACGTAAAAGTCTTTTTCTAACACTGGACAAGCTAGAGGATAGTTGTTAGACTCATCTCTTGCTAATTGTAATAAAACTCTTGTGGCTAGGTAAGGTGC